TTTTTTTTTTTTTTTGAATGAAACATCAAAAACTAATTTTACTAATTTTTTTCTTACTAAATCAAAGTTATAAGTCCAGACATGATTTTCTCCTTTATGTTTCGAAAATTATTTACTTTCAAACGTCGACCGCCATGTATAATAAAAAGCTTACGGATTTATTTTAGCAGGAAGTGAAGCGTTTTTTGGTAACACACACACATGGATGTAATGCCACGTGTAACAGGCGAGGACATTCGAGACCAGGAACTTCCTCTTGAACCTGAAGAATTCATCTTCGATTGTTTTTTCGATCGAACTTGCTTCAGACTTTAGAGCAACATCGTGCCATCCTCTTTGCCTGGAATAACATTTCCCTCAGCTAGGAGAGAGCTACGTCTCCCTAGCTGACTGCAACCCTCCCTCCCCCGGTGGAAACCGGAGGAGTCGGCGTTAGCCAAGAGAGAAAACAATGCCTCCTTTCAGCACTGCCAATACGCGTGCCACTGGCCATACGTATGCATTTAACTTCGGTTACCTCTTTCAATACGTCGTTGTTTTTACGTCGTTTCACTGACTGATACCGACTTGTCAGCCGGAAGCCTCATAGAATTACAGCGCCGCGACCGTCACGCTAAATCGAGTAGTTCGCCTCCTTTCTTATATTCCGTGCACACACGAGTACGCGGTATCGTCGCTCCATTCTGTCCCTTTCCATTCCCCCCTTCGCTCGAAAACTTCGACTAGCAATTAGCAATCTGACGAGGGGGGGGATAGGGGGAAGAAAAAAGTATTTTTTTAATTGGAATTTTTGGATCGTCCGAGTCTAGAACTGGTAAAAATAAAGCCGAAACGACCAATTTGTATACATAATTTTTGTCAGACGTGTAAACTGTGTACACTGTGTGTTTTTAAAGATTTAAATAATTTTTCGTAAAACATGCAAATGAAAGCACTGTATACTCTCGTATTGTACACAATTATATACTTTGACTAGTATTACAAAGCCTCGATGTTTCGATAGTTCTAACACACAATTTCCCGAAAGATAGAAATGTCTCTTCTGAGGGGACACTGTACTCTTCCTCTTTTTGCTGATAATTATAACGAACGTGTACATTCGGTGTTGCACGACGCGAGAGAATTTTTAGAAAGAGGAAATATATATTCACATAGACTTCTTGCTGCTTCTTACGAAAGTTGGAAAAATGGCGGACGAAGATATTATTCCTGCAGAGAGATTGAAACCATGTCTGTCATTGACTCTCTTGCAAACCCGCGATGCACGTTTGATGGTTGCTTTAAATTTCAACGATATCACATAGTTGGAGAGACATAAATCAACAAAATACCTACACTCGAATGATCATTTCCAATATGTGGATGTGACAGTGCTTCGTACATTGCCAGATTGTAGATGAGAGAGGGAAAGTTTGGGCAAAGTGTTCAATTTCAAAAATTCTGCATTTAGCAGAAGAGTAGAAGACATAACGAAAGAGAGAGCGCGATGGTCGCGATATCGTGTTGTACCATGCTAAATTTCCGGATCGAAAAACAATTTATCGCGCAGAGCCCGTGGACAGTGACCGCTAAGCCAACCGAGGCCCTAAGCCGAAAAGCGGCAAGTTAAGTAAGCAAGGATTAAGCGAGAGAGAGAGAGAGAGAGAGAGAGAGAGTGAGCGGAGAAACACGGAGAACACGGGAGGGGGAGCTGCTGTGCGCTTCTAAACTCATCTGCGAATGCTCTCACGAGGATAGCAGGGAATTCCACGACCGCGAAACGTCACCTTGCACTTAAATCGGTGGAAAGCTCTTTTGCTGTAACGAGAAAAGCGCGCGGCTTGCCTCGTTCTCATGATTCGCCGCCTCGGACCATCGATTTCCCAACGAGAAGACGAGATCTTGCCGAAACGATTCGACGACTTTGTCCAATCCTTCGTCCTACAACTATGTTTACTTGTTTGCCTGCTACTGTCGCTATTTATCTCTGGTCGATATTCGCAGTAACCAGTTTCACGTTTGTCGCGTGAAATTAATTATTGAAAATGTACATAGTTGAGTGACAGTCAAGTTTCCATCGAGAGAGTATTACTTTTCAATCTGAAAGTAGAGAAAAGTGAGTTTTCAATCGCAGTGAATTATTTTTATGTCCAGCAAATTAAATTGTCAAGTAAATATAACGT